GAGCTGCCTGATTGGTCTGCAACGGAATGCGTGTGCCATACCATACCATACCATAGTTGCGAGGCGAGTAACCGGTTATATGGCGGAGTCGCTCTAACGTCATGTTCATTGAACCATCACGCCGTATTTACCTTTTTAATTAACGCAGGTGGAGAAATAGCACGGGCCGCGCCCGCGACCCCTCTCTAGGTGCGGTGCGCGCACGCAAGACTGCAATCTTTTCTTCTTCTTCTTCTTCTTTTCCTAAGCCTTCTTTTTTTCTCTTTCTCTCTTTTTCATTCGGACGATGAAAATGGACCATTCGCATCGCAGAGACGGCTTGATGTGGTGCACCAGACGGTGGGTCTCGTAGTGGACCGGACCGCCAGGACCCTGCTCACGCAGCTCACGTAGTGGGAGTTTACGTCTTGCGACAACAGGAGCTGGCCGCGGGACGAGACAACAACAACCCTGTGCAAGACGCGCCCCCAAAAAATCTGCAATTAGATCAAGAACATTTCTTCAAGGCATTTGAACTAATTCTACTTGCGTTCTCGCTTAAATTGATGATTCAAGAAGACTTTTTGCGTCTGGAATCACGGCTCAGGGATCGTCCTGAAAGTACGTCCGTTTTTCTCACATTTATTCGGCATAATGGGGTGCTGAGCGCCTGCGAGACTCCGGGTAGGCCACCCCGCGGTACTCGCATGCATTGCAGGCAAGATTTTGCCTACCCATCAGGCGCTCGGAGAGCTTTGAAAGGCTGAAACGGTTCATAGTGAATACTGACGGACGTACTTTCGTGATGATGATGATATCGCCTATTCAGAAGCATCTTGGTGCAAAGATATGAACACTGGTAGTGGACGACGTACAAACTCTTCGTGACAAAACAAATAGAGATAAGAAAAGATGATTCTGAACCAAATTCCTTTTCTCTGCGCAATGTAAAGTTTCCTCTGGCTCTGCTCGGAAGTGGAGGAAGTGCGGGGGCAGGCAGGGGCCAATGTGGAAAGGGAAGACCACCGCACCACACCGCAGGCTCCGCAGGCTCCGCAGGCAGACACAACCTGCCCGAGCGCCGAGCCCTCCAGTGACCCCTCGTGCCCCGCCTGCACCTTATCTGAGCCGGCTGCTGGTGGCCCGGACCAGCTCGGCTCGGCTCGGCCCGGCTCGGCTCGGCTCGGCTCAGCCCGGCTCGGCTCGGCCCCGCGTGGCATACGGGTACGGGTGTGCGCGGGTATAGGGGAGGTAGGCGGAAGCGGCGGCAGCAGCGCCGAGCAGCACACGAACCGGGAGGAAAAGAAACTTTGGTTCGGCGGAAACGGCACGCCGTGGGGCATCCGAGCGTGCACCAGCCACCGGCTGACCGGACCGGCCCGACCTGGCCGGCCGGCCTGCTGCAGCCTGCACCGCGGCGGGCACCGGCGCGGCGGGACGGGGCGGTAGAGATCACTTTACACATTTGAGGAGCTACTCGTGTGTTTGTTTGGGTATCGATGCGTACGTACAGTCTGGCACCTGCCCGCAATAGTAGTAGTTCGTCGCAAACTGAATCGGAATCAGAACGCTGTTGTTGCCTCACTTTAGTTGAGTCGTTGTTCTTCACATGGAAAAAACAAACATAGCGAGTTCTTTTTTGTGGAAGAGCGTAAGAGGTTGTCGCCGACCGTCATGTCCA